TGTGATTTTTATAATTATATATACACACACACACACACACACACACACACACACTCATACAAACACACACTCTGCATTATATACACACACACTTATACAAACAAACACTCCGTATTATATACACACACACACACACACACACTGCATTATACACAAACACACACTCTGCATTATATACACACACTCTGCATTATATACACACACTGTGTGTATATAATGCAGAGTGTGTATATAATGCAGAGTGTGTATATAATGCAGAGTGTGTGTTTGTGTAGTGTGTGTGAACTGGGTGGGGGGAGGGCATTTTTATTATTTTAATTTTTTTTTTTTTTAATATTATTTTTTTTATTATTTAAAAATTTTTTTGTCCCCCCCTCCCTGCTTGTTAACTGGTCAGGGAGGGGGGCTATCTTAATCCCTGGTGGTCCAGTGGCATGGGCTGTGAAGTGGGGGGGCCGGAAGGAAGCATTTACTTACCTTTCCTGCAGCTCCTGTCAGCTCCCTTCTCCTCCGTTCCGGTCAGCTCCACTCTAAGTATCGCGGTCTGGTTGCCGCACGGATCGTTGCCATGGCTCTGACGGGCGCGGCTCTCTAAGTTGCCATAATACAGACAGTGACTCGAGTATAAGTCGAGTGGGGGTTTTTAAGCACAAAAAATGTGCTGAAAAACTAGACTTATACTCGAGTATATACTGTAACTGTAAAGGCAAATTGTTGGTCTTCAAATCATTTAACTATTAAAAAAAAAATGTATCCATCATGAAAAATGTAAAAACCATATATACATTTATATATACACACACAAACCTAGAAGGGTGTGAAAATAAAAACAAACAGGCTTGTTCACACATATTAACTCTGCAAAATAAGAGGGCATCAGTCCCTATAGCTTCATTGATATGAAGTTACTTTGGGGATGTAGGGTCCCTTTAACAACTTGACAGCATTTTGCCAAAATAACTGATCTGGAAAAACTTTAACTCAGCTGTAGTCACAACAGGATATTTTTTTTCAATTTGGATTTAGTTTTCAAAAATTTGGAGTTTAGGGTCAGTGACATTTTGCAGAAACGACAATGTTGCAGGAAAAGGCTACGAGATTCACGTCCACAGCTGTAACAGAGTTAAACTCATTTACAGCTCAAATTACTCTTACTGAGAGCATTTGATTGTTGCAGTGCTGTGTTTTGCTGTGCATGCACACTGGCAGAGATCATTAACATTAATGAGCTCAGCCAAACTAAACAACAGCGAGAAGAGCAGAGCAGTTACCTGACACTCTTAGCAAATCAGGGGCTCCCCAATCACAAAAAAAAAAATAATAAAAAAAAAAGAGTGTACTAGCTGACTTCACTAAACCAATCAGCTGTGTTCATTCCACAAAAGGTTTAAACTCTAATGGTAAGCCAGCGCCAGGGACCTCCTGGAACTATAATGTCATTTTGATTAAGTTGTTATGGTTAAAACTAACCAGGATATTTATAGTTTTAGTCCCCCCCCCCCCAAAAAAATAAAAAAAATAAAATTTATATATATATCTTTTTCGTGGTGGAAGCATCGGGTTGGGTAGTTTCAAAGCGGTTAGGAGAATAGGTGCTTCTTCCACGGAGGTTAGGACATGGGTAGTGCCTTCTTGGGTTACTTCCAGAGTCCCGTTAGTGCCCCACTTGTATGCAATTCCCGCTGCTCGGAGTTGTGTGGTGAGTGGTCCATACGATTTGCGCCACATGAGGGTGGCCTTTGATAGGTCCTGGAAGAACGTCAGGGAAGAGTTCTCAAACAGCAGCGGTGTCTTGCCTTTCAGCCCAGCCATTATATGTAGTTTGTCTTGTACTGTGACACATCTGAGGATGACGTCTCTGGCCGTTGGGGTCTTTAGGTGGGGAGGGGTAGGCAAGCGGTATACCCCATCTATGATCATTTTCTTTACTGCTGTGTGTGCTCCCTGTACTGTGTGGGAGTACTGTAGCTAGTAGGCGTCTGGTGTAATGCGGCAGCTCTTCGGCCGATATCTCTGCAGGGATGCCCCTGATTTTTATGTGTGAGCGGCGTTGTCGATCTTCCATGGTTGACATTTTGAGTGACAGGTATGTTTGTTGTTGCTGGATTTGTTTGATGGCGTCTTCCATCGTGTTTATGTGAGTATGTACCGTCACTACTTCTGCCTCCGTGGTGTTCACCTTTTCTGTGACCGTGCGCAGTTCGGTCCTCAGAAGGGCTGAGTCAGCTGCTAGGAGCTTATGGATGTCTGCTAGAAGGAGCTTTAGGTCACGTTTGGTGGTTGGTGCAGAGTCATCCGGGGACTCCAACAGTGGCTGTAGTGGTGCTTGAAAGTGCCCTTGTACGTCAGGTCCGGTTTGTGGTGGGTTGTGTACCCTTTCAGGCTGTATTGCCCATGGGGGTCCCTGGGTGTCTGGGCCTTGTGGTGCCCGGGTGTGTGGCTGCTGATTTTGGTGCTGCCCAGTAAGTTCTGGCCCCTGTAATCCTGTTTTGGGGGTCTGTGGGGGCTCCGGTGGTTTTTGCCGTTGTTGGGGTGTGGCAAGTGCCAGGGTAGCCTCCAGCGTTTCTGCCGCTGGTTTGGGTTTGGGCTGGGTAGGCTTTTGGAGCATAGTCCCAATATCCCTGCCCCCAGCCGTACCTTGTGGCCTTTGTGATCGGCGTCCCATTGCCGGCATATGAGTCAGAGCTGTGGTTGGGTCCGGGGCGCAGGGGGTGTCTGTGTGCTCGGCCGAGTATCCACTCAACAGGTCCTCGAGGCCCAGGCTCGTTGGGGTATAGTAGGCCCCGATTTTGCGTCTCCGTTTCTGCTGCCGCTGCGGTTGGAAAAAAGGCATCGGGAGATGCAGCCCGTTGTGCTGATGCCGATAGTGCGTGTGGCGAGGTTGGATGGGTAAGGGAAAGACTGATTTCAATGGATTTTGTCCGCAGGGCTTGGGAGCTGTGGAAAATGGCCTCCGCTCGTGTCGGGTAGCAAGCCCCGCCCCTCATTTATTTATTTTTTACATATTTTTTTTTTTTTTTCAGAACACATGTGTCAGCTTCTGGGACCGCCGATGATGACATCACCACTTGATGTTCAGTGTCCTACTGGTGCAAGGGAAGGTAGGATTTACTTACCTGAACATGTCCCTCGTGGCGGCCGCCATGTCCTTCCAAGAAACCCTCTTCAACTCCTGTGGCTTCATCTGTCACAAAAACACAGACCACGGTGTTGCAGTTCTGTCACAGACTGAACTGCACTAAATGATGGTCACCGAGAACCTCTAGCTCTGCCTGTCAACTGAGGTTTATGTCTAATATGTACTGTTACTTCTCTACAGTTATACCAATTCTTACCAGCAACGGGCTGAGAGTGATCTGCTCGTGAACAACTGTCCATTAAGTATATGGGCAGCAGGGAACCCTTATTTAGTGTCAAAATGATTATTAGTGTCAAACAGTTTAACACCAAACAGTAGCACAGCGCCAACAGCTTCCATGTTCCAATAATAATTTTAATACAAAGTTGTTAGGATTCCTAGTGTCCCTTTAAGATGTAAAGAATAGAAAAGGACAACTTCCCTGTAGCATTGAACAGATTACTTCTCCAAAACAGACCGTTATTATAAATATACACGCAGTGGAGGTGGGGAAAGAAGACAGTTGCAGCTAGTTGTCTGGTACTGTTGCCAAAATGTGATTAAAGACACAAACTATATTTTGGACTTAAAGGGGTATTCCCTACAGTGTGAACTGTTGGAAAGACAAAAATAATTTTAAATTTCAAGCCACAACAAACAAATTGGAAAAAAATCTTTGTAAACTGTGTTCTAAAAAATAAAAATAATATTGAAATTCACTTTTAATTCCAGAAACTTAAATGGCTAACCTTATGAACCCCTTCAATGTAGTTGATGGCTCTGTGAAATCATCCACAGCTGTTGTGAAAGGCTAAAGATGAGACAGTGTCATCCCCTGCATATCTGTATTTATAAGTATAGTGAGGAGGGCTTATACGATTTCTTCTCTTTATATAAATTAAGACACCCCTCTGATACAGTGTGTGGTCACTTCACACGCAAAAAAGAATGGTCTGCACTTCTGCAATGCATTAGCATGGGAGCCCCTCATCGTCAATATCTCTGCACTTCCTAGAGAGACAAGACAGACACCGTTTTTTAAGCACAGAATCAAAAGCAATAATCTGCAATAACTGCAAAATAAGATTTTTTTAGCTTAGAAAGAAGGGGCTCTAATGATGCCAGTATGCCACTATAAACTCCTCTTTTTAACCCAAGAGGGCAAGATAACCCTCATGTGAAAAAGAAGACCACATTATTAGAAAGCATCTCCTTGACTGTATTTTATGGAGCGAGGTAGGGTATTTAAGGGCCCCAGAATTCACCTTCTGTTTAGCGCCGAGGGACATGGCAACCCCTTAAAAAAAACCTTTACACATATCCCTTTAATATATGGGTAGAGACGAACTGGATACCGCACTTACCAAGTAAGCCAGGCGATCTGAAGCCATAACTGGCCAGGCCTCCCTTCCAAGATATGCAGAATAAATAACAGCTCAGGCACTCCGTAATAACAAAAAATAGCAGCTTTATTGTGGCAAAGACAGCCACATTTCAACCCTACCGGGTCTTTATCAAGCTAGGGTCGAAATGTTGCCGTTTTTGCCCCAATAGAGCTGCTATTTTTTGTTATCCTGGAGTGCCTTAACCGTTATTTATTCTGCATATTATTTATTCTGCATATCTAATATAGGGGTGACCACAATGTTTTAATAGGAGGGTGAGGGCTCACTTAAAGCCTTTATCGCCCACTGCAAACCATAGAAGGGCTCTTTCCAGAATAAGGTCCCGTTCACGAAATGATGAATACCAGGAGGATGGCATATTTACATAGATTACATACCTGCAATTATGGTATGGTGGGGCAAGGGCTCCAAACACAGCCTACTGCACAAACACACGGCAGGTATAATGTGAAAATTGGTATTCTCTTTCAGATTTAATATTTCTATAGTTAGGTAGTTTATTGTTTTGTGTTTTCTATATAAATCACAAGATAGGCTAAAGTAACAAAAAATACATTTTAACTTTTAAATGTTCATTTTTATTTACAAATGACAGTAATATTTACTAAAGTGAGAATTGTGAGGAATCCAAAGTTAATTTCAAATTTAAGGACAACATAGTGCATTTGGACAAAATTCTCTAAGTCAACTTTGCTTCCAATTCGGCTATTAAAGATTAAAATTTACT